ATCTCTTGAGGTCGTGATCCACCCGCCTCGGCCTCCCAAAGTGCTGGGATTACAGGCTTGAGCCACCACGCCCGGCCTTAATTCTTGTATTTTTAGTAGAGACAGGGTTTCACCGTGTTGTTGACCGGGCTGGTTTCTAACTCCTGGCCTCAAGTGATCTTCCTGCCTCAGCCTCACAAAGTGCTAGGATTACAGGCGTGAGCCACTGTGTCCAACCCATCATATTGATTTTTACCTTTAACATGACTCCTTTCTGCCTCCCCACTATCACTGTCTTAATTTGCATCCAGGTTTCTCGACTCCATTAATGCAATAGTCTTCTAACAAGTCTTCCGCCTTCACCGTGGACCTACTCCAAGCCACTCTCCATAGTACTGCCAAGATAATCTTTCTAACACATGAGTCTAATCAGGTTACTCTGCATAGTTTTCGGAATAAAGCTCAAACATCTTGGCATGGCCTATGTCAGATAGCTATTCCTACGTAACAAACCACCCTGAATGTGGTGGCTTACTACAGCAATAACACATTATTTTTTATGATTCTGTGGGTTGGCTGTGTTTATCTGCAGTTGGGTGATGGCTGAAATAGCTGTGTGGTCCAAGATGGCCTCCTCCATCCCTCATATGCCTAGCAGTCAGTGCTGGCTGTCAGCTGGGGCCTCTCAGTATCCTCACCACCTGGCCTCTCATTCTTCAGTAGGCAAGATTGCCTTCCTTACAAGGTGGCAGCCTCAGACAGCATTTCAAGAGAGGCAGACCTCATGAGGCTCTGCAATTTGAATAATATCACTTCTGACACATTCTGTTGGTCAAAGCAAGTCATGAAGCCAGCCTCATTCATGAGGTGCAGAAGTAGACTTTGCCTCTTGATAGGTGGAGCTGCAAAACATTTGTCACCACATTTAATTGACTGCGGGATACAGGGTTTCTCAAGATCTCATCTCAGACTGTCACTTTTCCAACCTCATCTCCCTTCTCATGCTTCTTGGTGGCCATACTGGAAATTCCTCCGATATCAACTTCTCTGGGATGCCTTCCTTGATCCCCAAATTTTGATTTAGTTCTGTATCTGTTGAGATGTGATTTGTTGCAGGTAATCAGAATTTTGACTCAAAGCATCATAAAAAATTAGGAAATGTATTATTGTGTACATCAAGAAATGCAAGGCCAGGCATGGTGGTTCACGCCTTTAATCCCAACACTTTGGGAGGCCGAGGTGGGAGGATCACTTGAGCCTAGGAGTTCAAAGCCACCCTGGGCAACATAGGGAGACCCTATCTGTACAAAAAAAAAAAAAAGATTCAAATTAGCCAGGCATGCATGGTGGTGTGCACCTGTATGTAGTCTCAGCTACTTGGGAAGCTAACATGGGAAAATTGCTTGGGCCCTACGAAGCCTTGGGAGGTTGAGCCTGCAGTGAGTCATGATCATGCCACTGCACTTCAGCCTGGATGACAGAATGAGACCCTGCTTCAAAAAAGAAAATGAAAGAGAATTGCACTGGTGGATGGATGTCAGGGTTGTTTGATGCAATGGCTTATTGGTATCACCAAAAACTAAGCTCCTTTTCAAATCTCAATTTGGCCTCAAGGTGGCTCTTTTCACAGTTATAATATAGTTGCTTCAGTTCCAAATGTCACAGTCAGATGTAACAGTGTCCAAAGAGAGAAAAAGCCTGTCTTTCTTGATACATTTTTCTTGTGATTTGGAAACCTTTCCCTATCTTCCCACAGGCAACCTTCCCTCATGTATCCTTGTTCACAGTGAGTTCCTTTGCCTACACCTAAACCAATCACAAGAAAGAACAAGCAGAGTCTACCCCTGACCTGGGGCTAGTGTTATGTCTCTTAAGACATGTAAAGAAATGGGATACCCCTGAGTAGATTTGGGAAGGAAGAAGAAAGGGAACAAGGTGTTGTGGAACAGCCAGAAATGCCAGCAAAAAGGTGTGTCTCCCATATTCCATAGTTTTTGTTTTTTTTTTTTCCAGGAAATGTTTCTGAGTGATAATATTCCATAGTCTTCTATGTACAGCTCTGTCCCAGGGGCTTACAATGGTTGCTTCACATAACTAGCCCAGAGGAGCTTTTTATTTTATTTTATTTATTTTTGTTTTGTTTGAGACGGAGTCTTGCTCTGTTGCTCAGGCTGGGGTGCATTGGTGTACTCTTGGCTCACTGCAACCTCCACTTCTCAGGCTCAAGTGATTTTCTTGCCTTAGCTTCCCGAGTAGCTGGGATTACAGGTGCATGCAACAATGCCCAGCTAATGTTTGTATTATTTATTAGAGACAGGGTTTCACCATGTTAGCCAGGCTGGTCTTGAACTCCTGACCTCACATGATCCACCCATCTCGCCCTCCTAAAGTACTGGGATTATAGGTGGGAGCCACTGTGCCCAGCTAGAGGAGCTTTACAAAACAAAATTTACCAAAGGTGAATTAATTAGAATCTTTGGTGGTTGAACCTGGGCATTAGCATTTTGTAAAATCAATGCTAGGAATTCTAATCTATAACCAGAAACTAGAGCCACTGCTCTTCCCGTTCACTTATCACCCATTACTGGAATTGTTTGTATGCCCATTTTCCTAACCAGATGGCACACTTGTTAAGGGTGTGGGCCACTCTTCTTTGTTTATGTATCTCTAATACCTAGCACAGTGCCTGGTTTTCAGGTAATAAATATTTGGTGAGTGAATGAATAAGTGAATGCAATGTGTCAAATTAAAAGGAGGGTTCTTTGCTTCCAAGGAATTAGGATTTATTGGTGAAAGCAGATGCACGTGCAAGTAGAAATATGCTTACATCAGCTAGAAATAGAAGGGGGAAGACTTAACACGGAGGTGGCTACAATAAAGAAATCAAAGCGGCTGGGCGTAGTGGCTCACACCTGTAATCCAAGCACTTTGGAGGCCAAGGTGGATGGATCACCTGAGGTCGGGAGTTCAAGACCTGCCTGACCAACATGGTGAAACCCTTTCTAAAAAAAAAAAAATAAATCAAAGCTTGACAATGTAAGATACCTTAGGTAAATAAGTTATCTAATATGGAGTAATGAGTTTGTAAGCTGGAAACGTAGCGTGGGGTTAGATTTCTAATGGGTCATTAGTGTCAAACTAAAGGAATGGTCTTTGTCATATAGGCAATAAAAATTTGTGAAAAGTTTTTTTTTTTTTTTTAAATCAAAGAATGACATGAGTAGACCTTTTGAGTGAGAAAGTAACTGATGTGAGTGTTGAAAGTATACTGGCTGGGGAAGATTGGTTAAAGGCAGAAAGAAAGGCGAGTACTGAGTGAAAAAACATTTTTGAATGGTTACTATGTACCTGCCATTGTGAATGACATTTTATTTAGATTACTGAATTTCTAAATACTAGCCCCATTTAACAGATGAGTAAACTGCATATTAAAAATGTTAAATAACTTGTCCAATGCATACAACTGTTAATTGCAAAAATTGGAATCTAGTTTGTCTGATTCCCAAAGCTCCCGTCAGCCATCAGCTGGTCCTCATAAGAGACTCTGAGGGCATAAATGGGAATAATGGTAGTGAAAGTGGCTAACAAGTATTGTAGTAGTAAGACTTCTTAGAGTTAGAATCAACAGAACTTAATGACAATGTAAGTGATGAGGAAAAAGAAGGCGTCAAACTTAACTGAGTGCTGGAAAAGGGCAGTCTAGCTCCGAGTGTGCTGACTTTGAGTGATTCTTAAAATACCCAGAAGATGCTTTGAAAGAGTTAGAAACACAGACTTGTAGTTCAGGAGCAAGAGGTCAGAAGCAGTGCTGTTCAGACGTGGGAATTGTGGCGCACAAGCTGTAGTTAAAATGAAGACAAAGAGTGCGTATTGGGAACACATACAGTGGGCAGGGAAATGTTGACGGAATCTTAGGAT